CTCACGCACGCACACTCACACACATGCACACACACACACACACACACACACACACACACACACACACACACACACACACACACACACACACACACGACACGATATACAAATGTAGGAGGGGTGAAATGTTGCCTGTTATTTGATTGTTGTACTGAAGGAAAGATAAGTCTTTGTTGTGGGAGGGTGGGCGGTGGCTCATGACGTCTCGGCTGTCCTTGCTCCGTGACGTCTTGATTTGTTGAAGACTTTATGTGGACACCAAAGACATACGTACATGTGTCAGGGCGCGATGGAATCAGGCGCTCAGCAGTTTTTGGGCATATAGATGAATTTGTAATAATAAATAGTATTTGTATAGCGCATGTCCCCACTCGAAAGCAAGCTCTATCCATGCGCTTTACACTATATTCTTAACCCAGCAGATCATAGACACTCCGAAACATTCTCAGCTTCACGGTATCATCTGAAAGTTTGTTCATTTGTCTTGATTTTGATGTTAAAAATACCCATCTATCTTGAATACAAGTTGAGATATTTGCAATTGAAGGAGATGGGGGTTGCCTGGTATCAGAGGTGTGAGTAGCCAAAAAATGGCTGCCAAAATGTTGTGGCTTTCCTAATTTGAATGTCCTTTGAAACTGCAAATTTTGCATATCTTATGCCTTTGATCAATGGTTTTCAAAAAATAAAATCCACACAGAAATATCTATACAGAAATGTGTTTTTCAATGGACATAAAAGATGTTGTTGAGCAAAAGAAAAATAATTGTGATAAATATTTCCTCCCGAGCGGGACAATGTTCGTCTCTCTTTCATGTCAGTTTGAGGAGGGCCTGGTTCCAGCGCGATGCCACATGTACACACTTGTAGCCGTACACACTTGTAGCCGTACACACTTGTAGCACGCTAACGTGTCTGTAGCATTTACCCAGTTGTTAGCCTTTTTGAAGCTGGAGGAAATTGTACAGTAACTCTCCATGGAATGAAAGCGCTAACGACAGCCAGTCTCTCAGATGTCGCCGGATTCTTCCTCTTTCTACTCGTCTGCCTTTTGTCGGCAGTTTTTGCTCAAGCCCCGATTTCTTCAACTTCCTGTGACAAATCTCAGAGGAGACCAGTTTTGGATCAGTGTTATTTGGCTTTAGGAGACTGCCTTAATTTCCCTACATTATTTTTCTTTAGCATCACGTTTCTATTTCTATGCAATATTCTAAGATGCACAACCAAGGCTGGTGTAAGAGAGGTGGGCAGTGGAGGAGTGGGGTGCTGCAGGCTGGAGACATGCCCTGTCTCCTACGGAAATCGCATCACTCTATGTGGGCTGCGTTATGTGGGCTGTGGTATGTGGGCTGTGTTATGTGGGCCGTGTTATGTGGGCCGTGTTAAGTGGGATGTCTTCACGTGTCCGGCTATGTGGGCCGTGTTACGTGGAATGTGTTCGCACATCACTCTATGTGGCCTGTGTTCACGCGTCACTATACGTGGCTGTGTTATGTGTATTGTGTTCACGTGTCGCTTTACGTGGGCCGTGTTATGTGGGATCTGTTCACATATGATTCTATGTGGGCTCCGTTATGTGGGCTCTTCACACTGTGATTGGGTGGAGGGTGTCGCTGGTGGGTCCTACTTCTTTGCTTTGCCTGTGTTGTTTCTGTTCGTCGGTCTTGTTTTTTGCTACGCTTTGTGACCGTTATTGTACCGATGTGCTTCTCTCTACTCACAACTCAAACTCTATCCCGCTCTCATCATTGTTGCTATATGAGCCAGTTTTGTACGCTTCTCGAAAGACTTAGCGCGTAGTTGTAGACATTTGACCGTTCTGTTGTAGACATTTGACCATTCTGTTGTAGACATTTGACCGTTTTGTTGTAGACATTTGACATTTGACCGTTCTGTTGTAGACATTTGACATTTGACCGGTCTGTTGTAGACATTTGACCGTTTTGTTGTAGACATTTGACATTTGACAGTTCTGTTGTAGACATTTGACATTTGACCGTTCTGTTGTAGACATTTGACCGTTTTGTTGTTGACATTTGACCGTTCTGTTGTAGACATTTGACCGTTTTGTTGTAGACATTTGACCGGTCTGTTGTAGACATTTGACCTTTGCAAACATTAGACCGTTCTGTTGTAGACATTTGACCGTTCTGTTGTAGACATTTGACATTTGACCGTTCTGTTGTAGACTTTTGACTGTTCTGTTGTAGACATTTGACATTTGACCGTTCTGTTGTAGACATTTGACCGGTCTGTTGTAGACATTTGACCTTTGCAAACATTAGACCGTTCTGTTGTAGACATTTGACCGTTCTGTTGTAGACATTTGACATTTGACCGGTCTGTTGTAGACATTTGACCGTTTTGTTGTAGACATTTGACATTTGACCGTTCTGTTGTAGACATTTGACATTTGACCGGTCTGTTGTAGACATTTGACCGTTTTGTTGTAGACATTTGACATTTGACAGTTCTGTTGTAGACATTTGACATTTGACCGTTCTGTTGTAGACATTTGACCGTTCTGTTGTAGACATTTGACATTTGACCGTTCTGTTGTAGACTTTTGACTGTTCTGTTGTAGACATTTGACATTTGACCGTTCTGTTGTAGACATTTGACCGTTTTGTTGTTGACATTTGACCGTTCTGTTGTAGACATTTGACCGTTTTGTTGTAGACATTTGACATTTGACAGTTCTGTTGTAGACATTTGACATTTGACCGTTCTGTTGTAGACATTTGACCGTTTTGTTGTAGACATTTGACCGGTCTGTTGTAGACATTTGACCTTTGCAAACATTAGACCGTTCTGTTGTAGACATTTGACCGTTCTGTTGTAGACATTTGACATTTGACCGGTCTGTTGTAGACATTTGACCGTTTTGTTGTAGACATTTGACATTTGACCGTTCTGTTGTTGACATTTGACCGTTCTGTTGTAGACATTTGACCGTTTTGTTGTAGACATTTGACCGTTCTGTTGTAGACATTTGACATTTGACCGTTCTGTTGTAGACATTTGACCATTGTGTTGTAGACATTTGACCATTGTGTTGTAGACATTTTACATTTGACCGTTGTGTTGTAGACATTTGACATTTGACCGTTGTGTTGTAGACATTTGACATTTCTGTTGCTCTTATGACCTGTAGTGGCAATATTCTTACCTCTGACCCTAGATGTGTGTTTGGCAGGAGGGGGGGGGGGGCAGGGAGAAAATCTGGGAGCTGGAGACTGATACATTTTCCCAGATTTATCTATCGCTTATTTCTCTGCATATCTCTCGCTTTGTTCGCACTCCCATGTGTCAGTGTGTCTATTCACAGATTTCCCTGAGTCTCTCTCACACTTTATTTGCACTCCCTTGTGTCAGTGTGAGTCTATTCACAGATTTCCCTGAGTCTGTCTCACACTTTATTTGCACTCCCTTGTGTCAGTGTGAGTCTATTCTCAGATTTCCCTGAGTCTCTCTCACACTTTATTTGCACTCCCTTGTGTCAGTGTGAGCCTATTCACAGATTTCCCCAAGTCTCTCTCACTTTATTTGCACTATGCGTGATGTGAACTACGTTTCGCCGTCTACCTCTCCCAGTGTGCCAGTGTGTGGTGTGTTGTCTATGACCTACTGTCCCCACCAAAATCATCTCCAAGTTGTCAGTCCAAAAAAGTTTTAAAATATGAAAATAAATCTTGAATATAACCAGGAAGTTTTGTGGTCTATCACTATCACTGTGGGGGAGATAAAGGTGGAAGGCTGTGTTCTGAGATCCTGTAGCCTTATACCTCTTTTAGTTTTAGTAGAAGTTTTATGGCGCTTGCAACTGCATAAGGCAAGGTAATATGAGCGCCACATTATGCCACCACCTCTGTATAGACTGGCGGCTATGGTGGAGGGATTAGCCACTTCGCCATCGCTTACTGGGGACTTGAGTTCCATTTCCAAGTGGGGAGAATTTTTCTCGAGTATTTCTGTGGTCTTTTTTCTGGGATGTTGTGTCCCTCTCAGCACGGGTTGGCCTGGACAGGCAGGATGGGAAGCCCTGGACAGGCAGGATGGGAAGCCCTGGACAGGCAGGATGGGAAGCCCACCCACTTCCTTAGTGATCTAAATTGTGTAGATAGGAGCTTAAAACACGAGACTTTTTTTGGTTATATTTCCTCTGGTTGTCACGACTTGATACA